TAAAATATTTTATTATTTTTATTTTATGTGTATGAGTGTATTGCCTACATGTATATAAGTGCACCTGTGTCATGCAAAGCCCATGGGGAACAGAAGAGTGTGGGATCCCCTGGAACTGGAGTTACAGACAGTTGTTAGCTGCCATGTGCATGCTGGGATTTGAACCTGGGTCTTCTACAAGAACAGCCAATGTTCTTAACTGCTGAGCCATCTCTCCAGCCCCTCTTCTTGACTTTTAAACTTAAAAATTAAATTTAGCTGGGTATGGAGGTACTTGCCTTTTACCCTAGCATTTGAGAGCTAAGACAGGAAAATTACTTTGGGTTCAAGGACAGCCTGGGCTATGTAGTGAGACTGTCCCAAAAATGGAAATTGGACTGGAGAGATGGCTTGGCAGTTAGGAATACTTATTGCTCTTGCCTAGGACCTGAGTTCAGTTCCCAGCTCCCATATGGCCCCTCACAATCCTCTGTAACCCCCATTCCAGGAGATCTTATGACCTTTTTTAGCTTCTGTTGGCACCAGGCACAGATGTGTACATACATGCATTAAGGCAAATATTCATAAAGTAAAGATAATTTTTTTTTTTGGGTCTTTTTGAAACCGGGTCTCCCATAGCCACTATGTGGGTGCTGGGAATCGAGCCCATATCCTCTGCAAGAGCAGTCAGTGCTCTTAACTGCTGAGCCATCTCTCTAGCACCTATTTTATTTAATTTAAAAAATATTTTATTTTTTTTTTTTTTGGTCTTTTTGAAACCGGGTCTCCCTGTAGCCCCAGCTGTCCTGGAACACACTATGTAGACCAGGCTGGCCTTGAACTCACAGAGATCCATCTGCCTCTGCCTCCCAAGCTCTGGGACTAAAGGCATGCACCACCATGTCAGGCAAGTAAAGATAATTCTTAAACTCAGGTAATTTTTCATGTTTACATGATTGGCAAATGTTTATAGGACTAATTTTTCTGTTGTATGGTTTCTTTTTGTGAAAATATACTTTTATAAAAATATCCACATATGATGCTCTAATTATAAAAAGATTCAGTTACTTGATTGCAATTCTCAAAGCTTAATGGAGTAACTAAAAGTAAAACAAAATCTAGAAACTAAACTGGTTTAAAAAAAAATCCACTACATTTAAAAAATGCCCTAGCAGGCAGGAAAGAGGGCTTGTTCAGCAGTTAAGAGCACCGCTCAGCAGTTAAGAGCACCGGTTGCTCTTGCAGAAGACTCAGGTTTGATTCCCAGCACCCACATGGTAGCTAATAACTGTCCGTAACTCCAGTTCAAGGGGAATCCGATGCCCTCCTCTGACTTCTGTGGGCATTGCATGACATGGGTCATACATGCAGGCAATACACTCATACACATAAAATTAAAATAATAAAAAATTAAATTAAAAATGCCCTAAAACATTACTGAAAAATAGACTCTTGGAGAGGGTACAATATCAACAGTTCACTGAAAAGCGCGCTCTTTATTTCTCTGTGTTCACAAACTAATAGTCAGGATCCAGGCAGGAAACAGGAGGCATGTACTCGGCTATGATCCTGACATACCCAGAGGCCAGAGGCACACAGTAATAGCAGGAAGCCTTTACTGCTCTATCCTAATGAGGAAAGAGACATGATTTAATGGAACCACTAAGAAGAGGATGTGGGAGGGTTGGGGTGGTTTCTGACAGGAACTGAGGCAATAGAGGGAAGATGACAGAGCACCTCACAGCCTTTCCTCTCACCTCTCTTATGAGGGTCTTTTAGTGGCCAGATGTAATGAGAAGTTAGAAGGAAGGGTCTAAAAGCAGTTATCACCCTACCTTTCCCGTTTTCCCCGGCTTTTTTTTTTTTTTTTTTCTTTTAGACATGTTATCACTGTATAACCCTGGCTATCATGGAATTTGCTATGTAGTCCAGGCTGTCCTTGAAATCAAAGAGATGTGCTTGCCTCTGCCTTTTGAGTGCTAGGATTAAAGGCATGTATCACCACACCCAGCCTTTCCCCACCTTATTATAAAATTTAGGTTTGGAATGGATTTGAAAGGTCAACTAGTTTTCCTGTGTCTTATTTCTGCCCCCTTTCCAACCAGTCTATGCTTAAACTGTTCTTGATAGGAAAAAAATACTTTAAAATTTTTGTAAAATTTATTTTTATGTGTATGAGTATTTTGCCTGCGTGTAAGTGCATCTGCTTGCAATGTCCTTTGAGGCTAGAAGATGATTGATCCCTGTAACTGGAGTGATAGACTGTTAGCTGCCATGTGGGTGTTGGGAACCAAACTTGGTGGGAACCAAACTTGGGTCTTCTGCAAGAGCAGCCAGTGTTTTCAACTGCTAAGCCATGTCTCTAGCCCCCAAAATGCTTATTTTAAAATTGCCTCTGAAAAAGTAATGTATAATACTTTTTTTTGGCAGTTTATTCTTGTTACATATTTTTCAATGTAAGGGTCTTTTTTGAGGCAAGTTCTCCTTATGTTGCCCTGACTTCGAACTTGCAATCTTCCTACCTTAACCTCCCAAGTAGCTGGAATTATAGGTATGCACCACCATATCCAGTTAAGGACCTCAATATGATTGATGAGGGGAGAGATGGCTCACTGGTTGTTCTTGCAGAAGACTGGGTTTGAATCCCAGCGCAGCTAACAGCTGTCCGTAACTCTAGTTCCAGGGGATCCAGCAGCCTCTTCTGTCCTCCACGGACATTGCATGACATGGGTGCACTTACCTACATGCAGGCAATAAACACATACACGTAAAATAAAAATAATAAAATATTTTTTAAAATGTGATTGATGGATTTAGCAAGTTTGTGTCCACTTCTGCTAGGTACTGTGTCAGGTCCCAGGAATCTAGCTGTGAATTAAACCCATAGTCATGCAGGAGGTCCAGGTATGGACTATGGCAAACAGGTAACTGCAGTGCAGTATGTTTATTAGTTGGAGCAACTAAAGTTGTGTAAGGCAGTCAGTGAAGTTTTCCAAATTTTCCTTCGGAAAGAACTCTCGCTGTCATAAAGTCAGTAGATGGAAAAGGGTAAAAACTGGAGTTGGAAGCAGGAGGTGGCTGGAGCAATTCAGAGATGAGATGGTGGTGGCTTAGATTAAGGCAACCATCAGTAGTAAGGACAGAAGTAGATGGATGGATTGGTGGCTGTATCTAAAGATTGTCACTGTTTTCTAAGTGCAGTTCACATATTTGGGAACTGTCATTTTAAGTTTCTTGGTCAACTCCCTGCCAGGTGAGGTGATTTCTGTTGTCTTGTCTTCAGGATTAATTTGATAACTCATCCTCATGCCTTCCCGGGTACCTTCTCTTGTTTTTCAACAATCCTCTTTCAACCTTAACTGAGGAATCCAGGTTGCAGTGTTCAGATGAGGGTGAGATCTAATTTTTGCCAAGATAGGGTTGACTAAATTATATTTTATAATTGTGATTATTGGGCATTTTGATTTGCAGTGCCAAATAGAGTACCAAACCTGAATGTTGGCTGGTGTTTACTTACATTTGGAAAAACATCACCTCTAATTTTAGTTGAATAGTAGAGAGAATGCCAGATTTGTAAGCCATAAACTTAAAATCTGTGGTGTTTATGTTCATGATTATGGATATAAAGGTTGTATTAGTTACTTTAGAACCTTAATACTATTATTTAAATAAGAGTCTTTATGTAGTAATTAATACGTACTTTTTCTTCTGGTAAAAGTTTTGTCTTCAGTAACCACAGGAGTCCACCTCTGAGCTGTGAGCTATAAGTATTTCAGGGCTGTTATTCCATAAGCTCTTTTGTTCACTAATCTTTCTTCAAGTGCCATACATACATCCAAACTGTAATGTCATCAGAAGATGCTATGATGAATTAGCTCTTGGTAGCTAGGATGACGGTGTGGGTCTCAGGGTATTTTGTTGGCCCTTTGCGCCATACTTCACATTCTTCACTGTCATTTCTTTGCTGTGCTGTACCATTGTGCCAGGTTTCTGGAATTCTTTTTAGGTCTTGGTCCTTTGATAAGCAAACTCTAAAAAGCTGTTTTTGTTTTGTTTTGTTTTGTTTTGCTTTGCTTTTCGAGATGGAGTCTCAACTATGCTGCCCAGGCTGCTCTTGAACGCCAGGCCCAAGCAGCCCTCCTCTGCTTCCTGAGTAGTTGGAACTAACAGCATGTGCTTTCACCCCCAGCTTTATACAAAACTTGTATTACATTAGAAAAATTCATTAAACTGTTAGGAAACATTTTTGGATTTGGATTGTTATTTCCTGAGAGTATATCTTGCTTTTTTTGTTTTTGTTTTTTAATTTTTGAGATCCATCTCAAAAAAACAAAACAAAAATTATAACAAATTCATGTGGTTGTAACCTACTGACTCTATTTAATGAATGTATAGCGGTTTAGAGAGCCTTTCTAAATGTTTTGGGGACACAAATTTTTGTTGTAAAAGTTCTGTGAATGTAAGTCAAAGATATGTAGAATTCTGACCATTAGGGAAAATTATATAACTAGAAAGTTGCATGGGTTTGGGAGTACTGGAGTGTGTGGGAGTTGTCTATGTTCTCACAGCAAATTTTGGCTTTTCCTGGCACTCTAAATTTAAACTTCAAGCCATAGACCATTGAGAAAATATTAACAGACTCTGGATGTGGATCAGTGGTAAACCATTTGCCGAATATGAGCAAAGCCTTGAGCTTCCTCTCTAGCAACCCCTGCCTCAAAGAGAAACTCTAATGGAAAGGATATTTAGAAATGCACTATGCTGTTGATGGATGTTAGGATTTTATATTATTTATTTAGTGCCTTATAACAAGTAAGATCCAAATTTTACCACTTAGTATCTTTAATTCATGCTTTAAAAGGCCCAGGTGAATTTTGTGAATAGAGCAAGTGAATCCTTTGTAGACTAGGTATTTTAGTATTTGAATGAGTTGCTGTAAAAGCTGTTCTATGAAAACTATAATACTGTTAGAAGACTGTATTAAGAGAAAACAAATGATAATTCATCATGTAACAGCTATTCTAGTGTTGGTGAGGTGGCTCTGTAAATAAAGTGCTTGCTCTGCAAAAATGAGGACCTGAGTTCAAATCCCTAGCACCCACATAAAAACTGGTTGTGGTGTCATGCATTTGTAACCCCAGCAACTTAAGTAGATAGGGGAAGATAGACAGTAGATTCTGAGGACCCACTGGCCAGCCAGCTTAGCCAGAATGGTAAACTCCAGATACAGTAATAGATCTTGTATCTAAAAATAAGGTGGGGGCCTAGTATGGGGTGGTGCATACCATTAATCCCAGCCCTCAGAAGGCAGAGGCAGGTGGATCTCTGTGAGTTCCAGGTCAGCCTGGTCTACATAGCGAGTTCCAGACCAGCTAGGGCTACATAGTAAGACCCTATCTTAAAAAAAAGAAAAAGAGAGAAAAGAAAAAGGTTGACAGTGACTGAGGAATTTATCAACCTCTGTCCTCTACATATACACACATGCATACCCTCCCCACACACAGTTAATTCAATACTGTAATGTTAAAAGGGGCCTCCATGGGACTGGAGAGATGGCTCAGCAGTTAAGAGCACCGATTGCTCTTGCAGAGGACCTGGGTTTGATTCCCAGCACCCACATGGTGGCTACGAACCATCCTTAACTCCAGTTTCAGGGGAGTCTGATGCCCTCTTCTGACCTGTGAGGCATTGCATGACTCAAGTACACTCACATACATGCAGGCAATACACTCATACACATAAAATAAAAATAATAAATATATTAATAAAAAAATAAAATATTTTTAAAAGTGGGGGAGATCCTGAGTGCTGGTTTCAAAGGCATTCATCACCACACCTACCTTGAGAGAATACATTTTAAAATATTTTCTTAATATCATTTATAAGATTCAATTTAAGGGGGCTGGAGAGATGGCTCAGTGGTTAAGGGTACTGACTGCTCTTGCAGAGGACCTGGGGTTGATTCTGAGCACCCACAAGGCAGCTAATAACTGTCCATAACTCCAGTTCCAGGAGATGTGATATGCCTTCTGACCGCCACAGGTATTGCACAATATGGGTGCATTTACATACATGCGGGCAATACACTCATACACATAAAGTAAAAATAGTAAATAAAACATTTTTAAAAAATTTAATTTAAAATAAGAGGCAAATTTTTGGGTAATCCCTTAATGTACTACTTACCTGTGACCAAAACCCTTTGCTTCACTTTTCAATATTAGCTTTTTCAAAACATTTGATTTTTTGTTAGAGGCAGGTTGGTAGAGGAGTACAGAGCTCCTGGGCTTTTTCCAGAGCCACAGTGATAACTGTTTTCTCTCTCTACTGGCTTTCTTCCTTTCTCTCTCTACATGTGATATTTTTTTCCTGAGTCCTTTGAGGTTTGATTGTAAAATCATACTTCTTCATCCCTAAAGTACTGAGTGTTTAAAGATGTTCTTGTCACTTAAGGTATCTTCAGATATGAAGCTTTTGGGCTTTCTGGGAGTCTTATTTTTCCACTTTTGACAGCTATACTGAGGTAGAATTTATGTGCCATACAGTTTACTTTAGACTACGTTTTCACTCCTCCCTTCCTCTTACTGGCAGCTGCTGGCCCAGTGCTGCAACCTGGCTGAGCGAATGGTTTCTTTTGGAGCTGGTAAATCTGCCTTATGAAATCAGCTGACAGGTATAGCATACCTACAGATGATGCATTTTCTCCCAGAGAGTTTGGGTTGCAAGTGCTAACAGACTCTCTCTAAGCAAAAGACTACTCTTTTTTTGTCCACTTCGTGAATATAATTACAAAAAAAAAAAAGAATTTGAACTCTAAATGCTCAAATTATCATCTTATAGTAAGTAGTATTAGCAACATGATCCTAGACAGAAGTTACATTTTTTTCTAAATTTTTTACTTCAAAGGAAGAAATTTTAACTTAGAGTTAAAACACAGCTCGAGATTTTTAGGCTTCATAGTGCATTTTGGAGTAGCATGAAAGAATGACTGATGTGTGTTTTTGCTTCGGCTTGGGATGCACTTTTATTTCTTTTAATACATTGCTTTGGGAATCAGTGCACATTTTACTGAATGAAGTGTTGTGTCTAAGCTGTTAGAACACCAACCTTACAACATGTAACTCCTATTTACATTTTTCTCTTTCTCCTTCTCCAGGGATGAACTGTAAAAGAGGGCAACATCAGCTCGACCAGTCTATAACATTACAGTGGATTGCCATCTCAGTCCATAAAGCATTTGAAAACCAACAGCATCACAGCTTGTTTTGGACTTTGTTGCACTATTATTTCCAGCATGAAAAAGTGTGGTTTCGTAGGGTTTTATAATTCTTCAAAGAGGCACAGAGCCCAATTGGTGGAGGAGGGATGCAGAGTATAACTGTGTGTTGTTTTAACATGCCCACGTTTTACTTTAAATATTAAAAGAAAAGGGTCTACAAAAAAGCTTAGTTTGTGAATTAATTTGGAAGAGTGGCTTTTTTTTTTTCTTGGACACTTAATTTTGTTCCAATATTAATTTATCAGATTTCTCTTGTGCATCAGGAAACACCACCATTCACAAGTTAAGATTCTTGGTAGTTGGATATCTGTTAGATGCTACTAAGAAAATAGACATGAGCTTTCTTTTTAAAGCTTTTGATGTGGTGTCATAGGATAGCATGTTGTAGATACAATCAGCTGCTTTGTTACCTTAAAACTAGGTGTTTGTACATATTGAAACTTAAGACGATGGCAGGTCATGTCCTGTAAACACTTAGCTGTTCAGATTGGACATATCTGATGTAGTTCTTCCTTTCACTCTCTAAAAATGATAGACTTGTAGCTCAACATCATTTTTCTGTTTCTAGTTTGCTGCTGATAATGTATATGAATCTAACATGCTGTGTAAGCTGTGTGTTAGTTTCTGCACAGTTTATGCAGTGCTACTTTGCCAAATAAAATTAAAAGCAAAAGAAGCATTGGTGGTGTTTGAATCTAGAAGGAAGAACAGCAGGTCTGCAAGATCCACGATGCTGACCACGATCACAGAGGAAGTTTCTCTACTGTTGCATTTTGTGAATCCTGGTAGGTAAAAATAAATTGCACTAGTCTATGAACATGACTACATTTCTTCAGGAAAAAGACTATCATTGTTTCTCTCTGCTTGCCTAGCCCAGGGTTTGTCCTTTTCAGCTCCGTAATAAATGCCCAGTGAATGAGTGGGTGAGTGAACTGATTTAATGTCAGGGAAGAAGATGGTGGAGAATAATCACAAACCCCACCCCTTATCTATAAATAGATGTACCGATGGAGTAACTGTAAAATGTGTTTCGATGAAGGTGCTGGCACTTTGAAGATCTTACTTAAATGTGACTTTATACATTTCGTAAAACTTTAGTTTTTGTGACGGTTCTAGAACTTGAAATGTTGCAAGCTCCTGATGTGCAAGGGTGTGTAACTCTGACAAGGAAATTCTTAACATGTGAGAAACCCTTCCCCACTCTTCAAGTTTTAAATTACTTCTTTAAAATGGCTTTTGAAAAGTTATACAGCCTTCTTTTCACAAGTGTCTTTTCTTGGGTAAGGTCTTATAGAAAACAGGCATTCTTTGGTGTCCACTTTAAAAATCTCACCAGTTTCAGTTGGTGGCTGTTTGTTCTTTTTGAATCCTGGCAATGAACCCTGGTGACCAGGACTCACTGCCATTTGAAGTGTGTGCAAAGGTCAAATATTATTTAGGGCTTAACACAAATTCTTAAAATTACCCGCTTGTCTGGGTCCTTGGTATCATTACATTTTATTATCTGTAAATCTATTCTTTGGAATAGAAAAAGGCTCTTACTCTCAAGGAGTTTTCAGTCTAGTTGAGGAGACTGTGTATAAATGGATAAGATAAACTGCAGCTCAATTTGTACAGAAAAGTGCTGTGCCTCAAGCATTGTTCCAGTGTCACTCTTGGACTTTACAGTTTTCTGAGGTAACATTTTAGAATGTTTAATAAACAGTGACTCTTCATGGAGCATCACTAACTGGGTAAATATAGAAAGAATGGATTTTAATTAGGTCTAAGAGCCCTTTAAAAGTTGAATGTATGCACACACACACACACACACACACACACACACACGCACACACACAGGCTAGAGATAAGAAATATCTAGTATTTAGCATTCATAGTTTCCAGAATATTTTTAGCATTTTATTTTCCTTAATAGAAATAATTCCTGTATAATATGAAGGGCAACAATGAAAATATTTTGGAAAAGTTCTAGGCTAGTGTAATCTATTGATACGAAAGTTTTTCCTACAGATTTGATCTTATTAAAGGCCAAATCTAGTTGTCATAACTTATAATAAGCCTTAATTGAGAATTTTATTTTCTATTAAGGATTACAACTCTAAGCCAATAATATTAGAAGAAAATAACATTTAGAGGAAAGTAATCTATAACCATTGTTCATGGAAATACATAGAATCCAGTTTCCTAATAGCTGCTCATTGTTCAAAAAAAAAATTGGGAGCCAGCAAGACAGCTCAGAGGGTAAAGGTACTTGCCTCCAAGTCTTATGACCTGAGTTCTAGCCCAGAACCCACATAGTTGGAGAGAACCAACTCCTGTAAGTTGCCCTGTGACCTTCATACACACACTGGCACGATGGCACATGGTTATAATCCAAGCCCTTGGGATGTGCAGACAGGAGAATCAGTAGTTTAAAGAAAAAGTTGTGTATCTCTATACTAAAATATCATAAAAATTCAATGGATTCTGAAATAGAATAATTTTTAGTAAACACTATAAATTCTTCAAGCTATTCTTGGTGTGTGATTATCAGCCAGGAAGTAACTCCTTAGAGTTTGAAAGAATTTTTTTTTTTTTCATCAGAGTTTGATATTCTAGTTTTTTCAGCTCAGTGTTAGTAGATTTTCTGTTAGTTTGATGTGGCACTAAAAGAACTCACGGGAGTATAAACAAATAGCAAGCATAGTGATTCTTGAAAATGTTCTTGGGTTCAATAAGCTGATAACTAATTCTAGGTAAGTGCTAAGATTCTTGTAGCATATAAAGCACTTTACACAACTTACTGTCTCCCTAAAGACTTATCTTTAGTGAAAATGCGCTGATTGGATTTTAGTTATCTCCAGGTTTCTCCTGCTGTTTTTCAGAAAGATGACAGTGCCTTGTCCTTAACGGTACTTAAAGACTGTCAGTAAAAGGATCACACTTGGAAGAAAATGGGTTGGCCCAAGGAAGTTTGTGTTTGTACATTATAATATATAATAAAATGGAAATCAAGTCTAATCATTTCTTTAATTCTTCTCAGTTGTAACAGTAGTTGGTTCCCTCCCCCTCCAATCCTAGGACGTCTTTTAAGTTTTTTTTAACTGATTTTATTGCACCAGGATTCTGTGAAATTCCCTTCTTGCTGGATGGGGAAGAAAACAAAGTGATCCCCGTTACTCCGTTCAGTACTCACAAGGTGCCCTTCTTGCTGGATGGGGAAGAAAACAAAGTGATCCCCGTTACTCCGTTCAAGTACTCACAAGGTGCTGCACTGGCTCCCTGGGAGCCTCTGCAGTCTGTCTGCCTGCCTTCCTCTCTGCCTTCCTTTCTTTTCTTCTTTCTTTGTGTCAGTTAACATGAGAGCCCATTCAGGGATTGCTAGATCTGAAGAATTCATTCTCACTTAGATGGTATCAGTAGGAAGGGCATTACACACATGAAAATTGTCAGGTCAGGTGAGGGCTGTATTAAGGACACAGTGTGAGATGGCTTGAGGCAGCTGAGCACACTTGTGTTTCACTTTCCATACCAAACACACTTGGCTGTGTCCTCCAAACGATCACATCACTTGGAATAATGTCTTTTGCTGTCACTATCTAGGCATCGTTATAATCTTAAAAGGATTTTACCTATAAACTGCATTCTGCAGAGCTGGAGATAGTTCAGTTGGTAAAGTGCGTGTATGAAGCCCTGGGTGGTGCATGGCTGTAATCCCATCACTCATGAGGTGGAGATATCTTCAGCTACAAAGCAAGTTCAAGGCCAGCCTGGGCTATATAAGACCATCTCAAAAATATATTATGGATAAAAAAATTAGAGAATCTCTATGTAAACGCTGTTATGGTAGTTCTAAATCAATTGCAAGGTATTCCTAGGGAGAAAAGCCTTGTCTGTCTTCATGATCTTGGCTACAATGAGCAGTTCTAAGGTGGGCAGTAAAGCTGGAGAAAGCATGCCAGGAAGTTAAAGGTAGGGGTTTTACCTCTGTAAATTCAGAGGTATTGATGTATTATCTACCTTGACTGGCAGAAAGTTGGAGGCATGGTCTCAAATTGAGTAATTCTTAGTTCTGATTTTTTTTTTCTGTTCACAGATCTCTGTATAATATAGAGATAGCAATCTGGTTTCGTCTATGGAACTGTTACCTAACTGTAAGAACAATACCTTTTATTTGGAATTTTGGATTTTTCAGTCACAAAATAATGACAGCAAAAATAACACTAAGAATAATCTTTATATTCAATATGGTTTTTCCTAAACTTTTTAGTAAACGTTATTTTAAAGTTTTTTTCCCCCCAAGAGGTTTCCTACATTTATAAATAACTAGAAAAAGATCTTTAAGCTGAATAATGTAAGTTGATTTCCAATTTGCAGTGCTACAATGTACAAGATTTGAAAACTGAAAGGATTTGAGAATTAAACAGGAATGCAAGCATGCTTAGACCTAAATGTAGCAAATATAGAAGGCTCAGTTCTAACCATGCAGGCCATCTCTGAGAACATCCAGCTTTGCAAGGTCTACCTTTATTTCCATCACCAGCAGTTTCAAATTTAGTCAAAGAATCTAACAGTGTTTGGCCACCGAAGTAGCCTTAACTCTTAAGTATTTCCTTTATCTGTAGACTATTAGACTCCAGTATGGTACAAGAGCTTGGAAATAAAGCCAAGAGCCAAGATGCTCACAACATGGTTTCTTAAAAAGCCAGCCACGTGAGGACATTTGTGAACAGCACGCTAAGCCTTTCTCTCTTTTTATATAGCTAGAGCAGTTCCCTGTTAGAAATTCTCATTGGGGTTTAACAGAAAAAAATTATACAAAAACTGGAGTCCAGAAAACATGTTTAGAGTAGCTTTGCTAGGAAAGAAGCAGTGTAACCCCAGAGTAAATGAAACCAGAACCTCAGAGTGTTTAGGGATGTTACAACCACAGCCACCCCAAATCACAGAAGCTCAGGGTCAGGCTCATGTTGACACAGTTGCTGGGACAATATTGAAGAAACATCTGAAGTACTCCTGGGTTTGAGGGTACATCTGTGTGGTATGTTTACAGCAGAGAAATCCAGTCCAAGTCTTCAACAGCCAAGTTAAGGCTGAACCTCTGTTTGGACAGAGGGGAAAAGCACTAAGGAGCAGAATCACTGACTGAAAGGTGTTGGTAAATATGAAGAATAACGGGGTCAGATAGGTTCCCATAAGTCACCAGAAGAAAAAGTTCCTATTGAAGAGAGCTTTTGTTTGTTTGAACTCACAGAGGTCTGCCTGCCTCTGCCTCTCCTTCCCACTGGTGGGGTTAAAGGTGTACACCACCTGCCTGGCCTAAAGAGACCATATTTGGAACTCAAATGACATTATCACATTGCTTATGGAAGACTGGGTGAACCTGTTTACTTGCACTAAGGAGGAAAGAAAAAGTGTGAAGTTTTAGGTGGGCCTTAGGGGAAAGATGAAAAGCAGCATGTTTAAGAGGTACATTATAGGGGCTGGAGAGATGGTTCAGC